AATCGAACCGTTAATTCGTTAATTAGAGTGTTAGTCTTGAATCAAGTCACGTATGTTTCTTTTCGAAAATGAGGCTGAGATCCCATATTTGATTGTCACTCGCTTGGTATGCATGATTATGCGGCGCAAGTCTAACGCTGACAGTTTTGGATCATAATTCGATGGTCTTTATTTGCTACTATTTGCTACATGCCCATGTGTTCGAAATTCGTTTAGGCTGGTAAAACAGCTGCCGCGTCAGTTGTGAACAAACAGGGATTTCACCATTGTAGGTCTACATTAAAGGGATTTCTGTCCCCAAGACTTTCGCAATATGATTAGTAATGTTGGCGATCTTCAAATTAGTGGATTCGGATGAATGTTACCTTTTGGGACGTTTACTTAAAGGGCTCATGACGTGAATTTTAATTGGGAACATATTTTGTGCAACGTTCTACTCCTCTTAAATGTATGAAAACAACTTGACATCCTTTTTTTGGTTAATATGAAGACACTGTTCAGTTGAAAGGTTTTCTGTTCAAATTGCGAACCCAGAATTTGCTTATTGAAAACGTTTTGAAAACAAAACTTTGCTCGTTGGCCTACTTCATGTACTGAAACAACAACAAATCACCCACACACAAAATTACGACAGCAAAATATCCAAAATTCTGGCAATTTTATTTTGTGCTGAAAAAGCTGTAACATTGACTTTTCTGCCTGAAATGACATAACACTTTTGCTCATGAATATGCAAATTTTCATTAGCATAAAAACCAAGAAGGCACCAAAATGCCCTTAAATAATGGCAAAATGAAAATTGAAAATAAGGTTAAATGGGACACATAGGTGCATTTAAGGACTACATTAGAAAAATTACATTACAGTATTCAATGGAAACTCCGGTGCTCTGTTAGCATTAAGGACCATGATAATTACATGGGAAAAGGGCTACATGGCGTCTGCCCATGGACGTCGCGAGGGGGGGGCAAGGGGGGCACTTGCCCCCCCCCCCCCCCCCCTGGAAAAGCAAAAAAAAAAAAAAAAAAAAAAAAAAAAGAAGAAAAGAAAGAAAAGAAAATAAAAAGAAAAAGAGGCGCGAAGACAAAGTGGTGTAAATTTAATGAGTTGGGGGGGGGGGGGGGGGGGGAAATGTCCCTGCCCCCTCTAAAACTGATAAATCGAGAATGTGTTGAGAAATACAAGCATTTTTTGGCAAAAAAGTTTGCAAATGTTTGCCCCCCTCTAGAAAAAATCCTGGCGACGCCCATGCGTCTGCCATTCGGTTACACACAGACAACACAGCCACTCAACTACCTTTGGATCAGTTTTCCTTCCTCCGTCATTGGACTGCGCTGTCATCGTTCTAAAACCCACCACTATATTCAAGTAAAATGTACTAAACTAGTACAGTAAAACTCAGCGTCACTTTTCCACAACATGCATGCAATTGTTGACAGCAAGTGGTATGCATGATTATCAGGGGCGGATCCAGGTTTGGATCAAGAAGAGGGGGGGTTAGCTGCCAAAATGGGGATTTAGCAGTCATTTTCTGTGTTTTTCTGCATGTATTTCCTGGGGTTTTTCGGGCAGCCCGAGAGGTGAATTAAGCCCGCTAAGCCCCCTTCCGTATATCTACCACTCATCATGCTTACGCTGAGCTAACTCCATAACCCGGCTACGCTCTAAAACAACTTAGTCAAAACATTGACTGGTTTTCCTAGTTATTGGAAATTGACTAGGAATTTAGTTAAACATGCTAAGATCCATACTAGAAAAAAATAGTTGGATTTGACTACAATTTTAGTAATTTGCATAAGTATTTTTCAATTTTGACTGGAAAAATCTAGTCAGATTGACTGATTTTCAGTTGCACCCAGCTGACCCTGAATGGCTGGTCAAATTCATCTGGTTTCTATTCAAGTCCGACTAATATATTTTTTAGAGTGTATAGATGTCTAGCCTGTATTAATTTCTGACTATTCCACGTCGTGTTGTCGTCTTCAGTCCATCTTGTAGGATTTTGACTCTTAGTTATAATGAAACACCCAAGGATAAGCATTTAAGCCCCCGTTCTTCCGTAAAAAAAAAACAATTAATTTGTAGACCTGCGCTAAATCTTTAAGATTGCAAGCAATTATATAGAATGATTGAATTCTGCACTTCAAGATTAATACCTCGTTCGAACAAATGAGGAACGACCTTGTATCCTTTGATAGTAACATCAGAAATTCACGCCTGTTCTACCCAAATGCCCCATCTGCATTTGTGAGATTTTATTTTTAATTTTCCCCCGTGTATTAGTTTAACAGGTGACTTTGCGTTGCCGTACATATGGAATTTTATCGCTACTTGATTGATGACTAAAATAGAGATAAAAATACGAGTACAATTTTCTTGTATAATGTTATTTTTTCTTGGAAAGATTTAGCATAACTCGGCGATGCATTCCATTTTAATTAACAAGGTCCTTTTCGACTACCGGTACTTCTTGTGTGTTCTTTCATAAGTAGATTGAGTCCAACGTTGGGTATAATTAGGAATCAATATGCCATGCTAACGTTATCTTGCAAATAAGATCGCCTTTTTTTAGGCTGAGGTGTTAAATAGGACTGGTGGAATTTGAATGAGTTAAGATGCTTGGCGCTGGCACCACACATTATTATTTTGAGAGTTGTGTATATAGTTCAGATATCATTGGCAGTTATATTGACGTTAAAACAGCATGCTCTGCTCGTCTCCTGGAGATGACCATAGCACACAGCTGGAATCGTCGAGTTTTTACAGGTGCTTCCGAGTTTTAGTGTTGTTTTCGACAACACCGAACAACCCAGCATAATCATACATGTTGTGAGAAATGTTTCTTCCTCACTGATGTTGTTTAAAAGATAAACAAGAAGAAGCCCAAAAGGCCACACTGGGATTCGAACTCGGATCATCTGAGAAGCAGTGAGGATTACTTTCAACCATGCAGTCCACCATCACTCATATATATTACCCGCCGGAGCTGTTTGGGGGGGAATCGAATCCCGTATTATCCCACACGCTTTGGGGGGATTATTTCTTCGGGGTGTTGTGAGTTGAGAATGCCTCCTTGAAACCAAGACATGCCGATATGCGACATGCACTCTATTTGAAGCCCGGGACAAAATGGCAAGTTATGTAGGTCACTTTACCGGCTACTATAAACTGGACCCTGGAAAGTATCATTTTGACATCGTAAAGTGTCATTTTGACAGAGTTGTAACGAGTCACTGAATTTTGTTACTCGAGTCGAGTCAAGTCAGTTTAAGGACGTGATTCGAGTCGAGTCATCAGGTCAAGACAGTCGAGTCATCAGGTCAAGACAGTCGAGTCGAGTCGAGTCATAGTGTGTGGCCCAGGCGCGGTTCTAGAACCAATATTTTTTTTTTGGGGGGGGGGGGGGCTAGCACGGTGGATCCAGAATTTTTTTCAGGGAGGCGTGCTGAAATGTAGACCGGCTATTTTTTTCCAGACACTTAGGCCTCCGAAAATAAATAGGGGGGGGGGGGGGCTCATGCCATATTTTCAATGGGGAGCGCCAATAAAATCCTAAAATCATTCACACTACATTCACTAATGCACCCTTGTAACGGCTATTTCTTCTTTAGCATGTACATCACAATCCTTCTTTTTTGCTAATGCAATTTTTTTAACGGAATTTATTTTGGGGGGGCTAGACAAATTTTTTTTTTGGGGGGGGGGGCTACAGCCCCCCCTAGCCCCCCCCCCCCCGTAGAACCGCGCCTGGTGTGGCCCTAGTCGAATCGAGTCGAATCGAGTCGAATCAAATTCATGCTCGAGTCAATTCGAGTCACTGATATTTGAACACATTTAACAAATTACAGAAGGACGAAGGAAGACGAAATATACGTAAACTAATAACACGAAGTGACACTTCGTTTTTATGTCTGGCTTGGCTTTGGGTCATTTATACACTATTTTGACGTTGTCAAACCAAATTGCAACAAATGAAACTGTTTCTGATTACATATAGAAATATTTTTAATTTTTTTTTTTTTTGAAAGCAGGACATAAATTTAGTAGGAGTTCCATCAGGGGCTTAAGAAATCGCCCAAGAATTGGGAAATGCGTTAAAAGTCTGCTTCCATGATAGTAGTTTGTGAACTAGGCCTACATGATAAAACAAGGAGGTGGGAGTCGAGTCCGTGATACGGCGCAAGGGCGGATACAGGGGGGGCAAACAGGGGCTATGCCCCCCCCCCCCCAAAAAAAAACCCACTTTTTTGTTTAAGTGACAACACAATAAAGGCCGGCACTGCGTACACCACCATCTTTTTCCCAAAAAAAATTCAGATAAAAATGGTTCGGAAATTGCCTCAGATCGCACCACAGAGCATCTAGAATCCAAAACAAAATTCGGGGCCCTTAATAAGCGGGCCCCGAACCCCACGCCGTATTTTTTTGGATCCACTTTTTGGGGGACCAAAACAAAATCCCCCCCCCCCCTCCCCCAAAAAAATTGTGATCTGGATCCGCCCTTGATATGGCGTATATTTTTGTACGCGATAAGCAAGCGGCCACAACTTGACGGTAACGCGAAGTACGCCAACATAAATGTTCCGTAAGTCATCGCAAACGTAATATATTTTGGAAGGGACTCGAGTGTTATAAGCCTTCGACTCGAGTCGAGTCGAGTCTTGATCCTTTGATGAGGGACTCGAGTCGAGTCATTTGATCGCAGTGACTGGAGTCGAGTCGAGTCAGTTACCAACAATTGTGACTCGAGTCGGATTTGAGTAGAGTCATTGACTCTACAACTGCATTTTGACCCAGAAGAGAATGAAATCGGACCCTGATTCAGGGTCCAATCTGACCCGGGGCTTTTTAGAGTGTGATGATCCATGCACCCATATTACATATCCAGTGAGTCGACACGGACTCTACTAGATGGGTCTCCCTGGTAAGGAAGTATTTCCATCGATCTCAATGCTTTTTCCCGTTTATCTCAATGTCTCTCTTGTGTCACTATTCTACAGGTTTCTGCCGAGCGTGTTCCTCTACTTGCTCTGGATCGTCCCTCCCATTGTACTCTTGGAATCCTACGCCATGGACTATCGCCACTTCCGGCTAGACTTGTCCGACACCGGACGCTGTTTTGTCGACTTCAACGACGCTTGTGTCAGTCAGAATGGTAGTGTTATCTACGTGGAGGACGGCGGGGACGATCTGTCGAACGGAGTACTCGACCAGGTATATACGAAAAGAGTCGGGGTTTTATTCTTAGGGCTTGAGAAATAACGAGGGCGCGACATGTAGGGTGCTTGAGGTTCCTTCGTTTATATTTTAGGATAAAATGCGTGCCACGGAAGACGGGATCAAACTGGAACAAAACGCCTTACGAGCTCCCAGCGTGATTGTGCCCACTGTTATATAGACCTATAGACATTAGCTCGGACAATGTAGATTCGGACGCGACCTTAATGTGGGAAGGGTGACATAGGCTGGTTCTAGTTTCCTTGGGACTTGAGTCACGATGACAAATGACTCGGACTCGGACTCGACCCTGCAGACTCGGACTTGGACTCGGACTCGACCTGCGTGACTCGAGACTGGAAATTACCGCAAATCTCTTATTTTCTTTCACCAATATCATTGCAAGTTATTTTGAAGACGTTTCTTTCCTATAAGCAAGCGATATAGTCAGTGCTGTGCAGGAGAAACGCATTAAGTACCGTACATACACACGTGCAGCTGGCTTGTATTAAAAGTAACTCCTGACTCGGATTCGGACTCGGACTCGTCCTTTGTTACTCTTGACTCGGACTTGGACTCGACCTGTATGACTCGGGACTTGGACTCGGACTCGGGAGAGGTGACTCGGACTCGTCGGACTCGATTTGGTATTGAATACACGAACTGGACTGACTAAACGAACTGACCTACGTTTTTCCTCTTTAGCAGGAGAAATAAGTCGAAGGCATTTTTCAGCATCGCAAGGACATGTTAAGAACTTCCACTGAACTTTGTCATATAAATTAGTCAGCAAACATTTCCTAAAAATTGCCACATGACCGCTCTCGCATCCCCCCTTATGAGATGTCATTAGCTTGTATCAATTGATGTCGTCCATTAGCAGTTCCCACTCATGAAACTTGAGTAGTCCCTACAGTTATAATCTGCCAAATGGAGCGTGACGTAAGTTACTCGTCCCTGAATCAACATTATGGGGTAGCTTGGGGAATATTGAGAATTTCGCAAAGTGATGTACAGAATATACGAATACCCCCAGACTTAAATTACATCAAAATGTAAAAGGTTGTCGCAATTTCCATCGAAGCCGATTTTTGCCCCCATAACCTCTTTTCGGAATTTAAGATTGCCAATTCCCGGCTGAAATGCAATCATATACTATTAATGGCTGAAGGTTCATTTTGTTGTTTGTTTGTTCTTTACAGACGACGTACGACTACGCCCGACATTACGCACTCGTATTCCAACAAACGATGATGCTAGTCCTCATCGGCGGACGTTGGCTGGGTCCAAAGGGCGCCCTCACTCGCGATCAACTGTCGCAGCTCCTGCTGGCCCTGACCGGCATGGCAGCCGACATGTTGGAGTTTGTGACGGAGACGGTCAAGCTGGAAGAGACGGCCTGCAACTACCTCCTGATCTACATCATCCTGGGTATCTGGGCATGGAGTCTGCTACAATTCACCCTGGGGTTGACGGCCACCAAACAGAAGAAATCCCGCGTTGTCGGGCCAAGCCCGTCCATCAATCCCATCACCAGCATCGCCACCTGCTGCGAGACGGAGATGTGGGCGCTGATGGTCAGTGTTATCATGCAGGACGGGCCCTATCTGACCATGAGACTCTACATCATGTTTACCGTCCAGAATTTCGGCCAGACAATGATATTCTTTACGGCCAAAAATGGCATCTTATTCTTGCTCCAGGTGTACAGGTTGTATGTGGTGATCATTGAGAGACGTAGGGCGGGGAGGAAGGGCCGGGGGCGAGAAGCAGGTAGCGAGGATGAAGACGAAGAAGGTGTCTTTGAGATAGAGGAGGCAAGAACGCCCACCACACCTGTTGATGAGTTCTAAAGCTTTGGAGTAGAGAATACATGTACGTCGGATGAAATTCATGATGCAGTGATTGTGATGTGAAGGCACCAGCGGTTTTAGTGGAGATGATTAGGGTGGTGATGTGGTGAAAGGGGCGAAAAGGTGATGGTGTCGTCATGGTAGCAGACCAGTAAATAAACTTCCATAGACCCCAATGGTAAATGCTCCCACTTCAAAAATTCGGGAAAAAATACTCACAACTCTCCAAGGTGTTCGAAACACACATCAAATTAAAGCTTATTACATCATCTTTCATTTTCTTTTCAATTTTTGGGGGGTCAACTGATGACTTTTAGGAGAAACTTCCATCTGAAGATGATCACCCCTGAAAATAGTCCTGAAGCCCATCGCCATTTTGAAAAACGATGCCTACACTCCATTGCAAAATAGAGCGCTATTAGGGTCCAAATTACATCCAAATTACACAGAACTGCAAGCTCCCAGTCCTGTGCACGGCTTCCACCCATATTTTTTTACAAACCCTCAAGTTCATGGCCCACAGCATGCTCAAATACTGAAGATTTTGAGGGCATGCAAATCGTGATTTGGCCGGCGTAGGCAATTTCGGACCGATTTACTGGTCTGCACCCTCATGGCGTTGCAAGTGATAATAATTGACGTGTTACACTTGTGCTGGGGTGTTGGTGCTTAATTTAGATGCTTTCAAGATGCATTCCTCGTGTTATTTTTCGAGTTTCATCCCGAAAAATAGATTCCTTTTCTAAATTGCTATTTTTCTAGCAAAACAAAAGTTACTCGCTTTTGAATGAGCCATCAACCGAAAAAAATATCGGCCCATGTTTTTAGTTATTGGATTATTAACTTTACAATTTCAAAATTGGCTGGAAGATAAGAATTCACGTTATACAACTAAAGTCAGGCAGTAACGGCCTTAAGAAGCGCCATTAATGTTAGTAGATTCCTGCCTCAACTGGAAACTGTGAGTGTGCCGATATACTGTCGATGTTCAGTACTAGTCCTGTGGTGGTATTATAAACAATATGGGTCAGGGAAATATAAAATGATAGTGATGAGTGTTTGGATGACAATAATGATGATGTTGTGATCGTACATCATGCTATAGCATGGTGATAATGCGTACTGATATTTTGAAGTATAAATGCGGATGGTTGCACTGAACGAAGAGGATTAAGTTTTTTTAGGTATTGATGTATATACTCAATGACGTTTTATCTAGTACTAAAAATAGAAAAGATGTGATCTTAATAAAATGGTGTCGATTCTTTGGACGTGAGATGAATTAACTTTTATGGGGAAGTCGAATTCCTCAAACTTTTTAGTTGGATGTCAGTTTGATGGTAGTAATAATTGTCATTACAAGGTACTTACGATAGCATTGTAAAACATTTTGTAGTTGATACAGATCTTGTTCAAGTAGAATATAAAAAAAAAACATGTGCACAAAATCTTTCAATTATTGTGATGACTACCTTTTTGTTGTTCACGTTACTAAGGTGATGTTACTATTGTACCGTAATCTATTGGCATTAAATTAAAAAAAAATAAAAAATAAAAAATACTGAGAGCTCCCCAAACTAGACTCTCAAGACGAGTTTGTATAACTGGGTAATTTGGACGGACAAAAATGCATCTCAAGATATAGTTGTGGCGGAATATTTGTGTTTATATAAACATTAAGTGGATTTCGTCGACATACATTTGTTTTGGTCATTTTTCTCTTTCTAATGCCTCTATATTTTGACAGCCATAACCGCCATTTTCTATAGTATTGTCCTCAAAATAATGTCCACCGAAATAGGCCCATTCCTCGAATGTTTCGCCTCATTCTGTCACGAGAATGAGTAAATATGTACAAAGTTATTAATTTGTTAAAATTTAAACTGTTGCGAACAACTTTTACTTTGAGCTTTACCGAGAGCTTTTGATGGCAACTGTATGCATCTTGTTCACTCAGTTAGTACCTCCCACACGACAATGAACTGTGGCACTAACGCCAAATCCGCCACGCAGTCGATTCTTACAATAGTTGACCACAAAATAGCAAATCATTTGAAAGACTTTCCATTTCAGGAAGCGTTCTTGGCTAACACCACCGCTTTCTCACCCCGTCCATCCATTTAACCCGGAGGATGAGCACCAATACAGCGAGAGGAGTCACGAGGTGGCCCCGTGCCTTCGCTGCCGAGTCAGTCAAACGCTCATCAAACCTGTACGAAGGTGACATGATTTACTTGGGCTTGAGAACGGTCTCAGCAGCAGTGCTTACCAAATTGTTGCACTGACTGAGCACGGTGTTGTTTTTACTTCATAACTGCAATAGGCTAATTCATGACTTTAAGAAAGTCAATGAAGCTGTACGTATGTACGTTGAACAAAAAAAGACTGGGATTTTAACGCAGACCTAGAATCCGTGAACAACAATCTTAACCACTTCTTTACTTTCTTGTTGTAGGCTACCGTGTACATTCCGGGCAAAAAAACCCGAATTGAGCATGACCAACGTTACATGGTCAGTGCTTTGGAGACAGTTCTGCAAAAACAAATGTTTTAAAATATCACTTCATTATTACGTTTTCGACATTAGAAGAACGTTTAAAATGGTACAGAAAAAATTATACGAAACTAAGAATCGATTTTTTCCCACAAGAGGGTAACAAGATGCGTTGGACGCCTGAACAAGACTTAGTTTGCTGCAGAAACGAGACATGTACTAATATTCCCAAAATGTTTACGGGTGCAGACCTGCAAATCGACTCCCACAGGGCATATAGACCTCGATATATTACGCGTACTTCCAAAATTATTTAAAATACTCACAACTCTCCAAAGTGTTTTAGACACACATCAACTTAAATCGTATTTCATCATCTTTCATTTTCTGGTGTTTTTTTTTTGGGGGGGGGGGTTAACGGATGACTTTTGGGAGAAAATTCCATCCAAAGATGATCACCCCTAAATGCAGTCAGTCGATCGCCATTTTGGAAATGGACGCCTGCGCTCCATTGCAAAATAGAGCAATTTTAGGGCCTAATTTCATCCAAATTCCACAGACATCCGAGCTCGCAGTCCTCTGCACGGCTTTAACCCTTATATACTCAAGTTCACGGCCCTCAAAATGCTCTAATACCTGAGAATTTTAGGTTATATGCAAATCGTGATTTGACCCGCGTAGGCAATTTTGTGCCTATTTACAGATCTGCACCCACAAGACGAAATTAATGACATCTTGTTGTATAGGCCTGAGCAACGCAAACGGATGTACGTCACCAAACCAATATTATGATGGGGGTAATTATGACCACAACGTCGATGACAGATCACTCTGGCAAAAAGGTATAGCCAGGAAAATTAGCTGTTAGCTATTGAGGGGAGGGGGAATTGGAGGGATGGGGGCTGGACATCACCAGATGGGGGAACTGATCAACATGGATCTGGAGTCTGGACACCTTGACATTATAGCACTCAAGGTCTTGCACATTGTGTCGTATAATTCTTGCCTGATCGCGCGCTATCACGGTCTTTGGTCATATCCACAGTGTGGTCTTGTCACAAGCACATTTCACTACCGCCCTCAGCGGTAAAAATGCTAAAGAAGCATGAACATCGGTTGGTGGCGTATCACCGCAGATCATCCCTGTGCTAAAATCCCTTTTCAGAGGGACAGAGGGTTGCAGACGCCCCATAAACTACACGGTTTTTTTCCAATAAAATAAAATAATCATAAAAAAGTGATGAAAAAAGTAAATTCGTTGAAGAGCTCTACACCCTTAAAACCGGCCTATTGAGAAAAATCGGTCATTAAAATGTGTTCACCATAAAGCCAATTTCATAATTAATACAAATGTAATTATTATGCTTCCATAAAGAGATTATTATTTTAGACACAAAACATTATGGATGGTAGTGTCTTTCACCGTTCGACAAGGAAGATAGAGTTAAAGACTGGCCGGAAAAGGGGCTGAACCCCCTTCTTGGCATGCAGTCTATCCCAGTTATTTCAGAAATCCATAGTTTTATGCGACATTTTCAGCTGGGCATTCTGATTAGACACTAGTCCGAGTATGGTCATAAGTCTCCGGTTTCTGGTATGCGCGCGCGTCGCCGTAGCCATGCGCGTCGGCAAAATGAAAAAGTTGTTTTTTTTCAATGAAAGATGATGTCTCAAAACCGCCAAACTCACTGGTTAGACTGGAATCCCGCTGCTGCACAATTTTAACGTGTTTTTAGATGGGGTTATGATCGAGAATAAGCTTTATGTGGCCTCTCTGGTCTCCCATAATATTTGCACTAAGTTTAGTCGGGCACCATTTGCAGTCATCAGCCGACATTTGAAGCAAAAAAAACAGGTAAAAAAAAAAAAAGCCGCGTCGCCGCACCACTTTTTGGGCAAGCTCCATACCAGAAACCGGAGACTCTTTTTTTTTTTGGGGGGGGGGGGGAAGGGGGGGGGGCCTAAGCGGCCTGCGCTTTCCCCAAAAATAATAAGTATGAGGGCGCTATTTTAAGCTCGTTCATGGATGTGCAAACTGTTAGGCCCCCCCCCCGGGAAAAGGTATTGTTTTCCAAAGGGGTGTTAAAGTCTCAGATTTTTCGAGAGGGTGGATGAGGCGTGGCAGCCTAAAGCATAAAAAGACCAAAGCCTGAAGCAATCAATCAAGATTTTTTTTTTCAGGGAACGTAATAAATCTTTTTCCAGGATGAAAATTGATATTGGTCAATCCGAGAGGGAATGGTGGTTAGTCATCCCAAACAAGCCCCGTGGACAGGGGCGGCGGGACTGAGGGGGGAGGGCTTGGGGGCAGTGGCGTAGCCAGGAATTTTTCAGTGGGGGGGGGGGGGGGGGCGCTTGGAGGGCTGGAATATTTCATGGGGGGGGGCGTCATGTAGATCAATGATAATTTTTTTAGAAACTCAAAATCTCAGTGGGGGGGGGGACTGGGGGGGGGCGACAAGGTTTCATCCCCCCCCCACGCCCCCCGTGGCTACGCCACTGCTTGGGGGGGGGGGCCTCCCCCTCCCCCAGAATTCCTCTGGCGAACAAAGTGCCCCTCTCGCGGTTATAAAAATGTGTGCCCCCCCTCCCCCCGCCAGATGAAAACAAAAGTGCCTTTCAAACGCACACAGTGAAAGCATAATGATCGCACTACAAATAAAATTGTCTCCTCTCTTGTAATGGAAAACTGCCCCTCAAAAACACGCAAGTTCCCGCATTAACAAGATTATATTGTGCACCTTCTCGAGATGGAAAACTACCCCTCGAAAGCACAATTGTGTTAGTGCCCCGCTTGCAACTTGTGCCTCTCTCATGAAAAAGTGGCCTATAAAAACAATATTAATAGTGCCCCCTCCTCACGCGAATAGAATGGTCACTGAGCTGGCCTTCAAAAGCAAAAGTGCCCCTCTCGCGATAAAAAAAAAATGGTCTCTCTACTATAACTAGTCAAATTCATGGGCGGACTCAAAGGGTTACTGCCGGCCAGGGCCGGGGCGGAGGGTGTGCAGTGCGTCGAAGGCCCAGATCCGGGGGGGGGGGGGGGGTCAACTTGCCATGCCCCCCCCCCCCCCAAAAAAAAAAAAACTAACCCAATTTTTTTTTAGTGACGTCGCAAAAAATGGCAACCACTACGTTCACCACCATCTTTTCACCAACATTGCTTAAAGTGGTCAGGAATTGCCTTAGATCGCACGACAGAGCATCTAAAATCCATTCCCCCCCCCCCCCGGGCCGGCCCTTAATCGGGCCTCGGACCCCACGCTGTGAATTTGTAAACCCACTTGTTGGGCACCAACGAAAGGTGCCCCTTTTTCTGGTTAAGGCCGTCCAGATTTCGAAAATTAAGCGCGGCTTTGATCCCTTGTACTTCCATCTCCATAGGCGCGTAGCCAGCGTGGGGGGGGGGGGGGGGGTATAAGGGGGGTATTTACCCCCACCCCACCCCATATTTTGTAATGACTGCCCTTTCCCATTGAAATGCCTTTTTTTCACCAGCGATTCCCCCCCCCCCAATATTTTGTAAAGAGTGCCCCTTCTTTTGTTAACAAGTGCCTTTTTTGTATGATTAAGTGCCCTTTTGCGGCAGATGGTACCCCCCTACATACCTAGTGTGGACATTGCTTTGTTTTCGTGTAGTTAAGAAAACTCGGTACAAAAAATAACTTTACTTAAACTGTGAAAACTCTTTTAACCCAATTTTTTTTCTATGATTCCCTATAGTGTTTCTCTTCATTCTGCTACGGATAAACCTAACCCCAAAATGCCTCTAAACCTGTTTTCCAGAAAGGGCAAAACCTTATGTGGACACGGCTTAGTCCACATAAGGTTAACACAACCTGCATTATGTGGACCTCTTTTGTTCACAAGTCCACATAGGGTATGTAACACAAACTCACCAACACCCACACACACACACACACACACTATTTGATTTTACGGAGGCCAAGTGTCTGGAGAAAAAAAAACGTGTTTACATTTCAGCACGGATGTGCAAGTGCGGCCCTTTTCGAAAAATCCCCCCCCCCCAATGAAAATGACCGTGCTACGCCACTGATCTCTCCTGGCACTTTTCTCTTCATTCCCTTTCTTTCAAATTTACCGACTGCAATATTAAGTTGCACTGTCCCGCAAAATCGTGTTACATTTTCAGTTCAATTCCACTTCCATGCGGGCCTGAAACGAGCGCAGGACGCCATCTGCAGAGTATGGCTGGAAGCGATGTGTTCTTCGCATTCACAATGGTCCTCCTTCAGGATTATGTCATGATCGCCTACATCACCGCATGTACCAATTATTTTGTGCATCATTGGAGCGAATGAGTAAGGGGTAACCCGGGGGCACGAACCCCCCCCCCCCCCCAACTAAAGGCTGTTTTTAAAAATTATTATTATCACACTAAATGAGGCCCAAAGCGCCCCCCCCCCCCCCCCCCCCCCATTGGCACCCTAGACGCTCACTACAGCAGTTTAAAAAGCCGAGACATTTTGATCGATGATTATTTTGGAGTCGGACTGAGCTATGGACTGAGCATGCAACACGTCGGATAATGATAGTCTGGACCGTACACATCGGACGGTGCAGATTAAATTGTAGCATCGTTCATGACTGTATACGTATACCGGCATCATTGAATATTGGAGATACTGAAAAGGGTATGACCACAAGGGGCGTCGCTAGATGAGGGAGAGGGGGCGCCCACGGTGTCTTCCCAACGAATAGCGCCGCCTACAAATCGAGTACGATCGTCCAAGATCATGCGCTTTGAGCAGTACCTCAAGATGGTGTCCAGTCCTCCCCGCTCCCCCTTTTTTTGGTGGCGGCTGGGTAACCTGGAAAAACTCTAGCTTCCCAGTATGTTTGTTTTGGTGGCGAATTTGTTGTCAACCCAGCCCCCACTTGTTCGTGGTGAGAAACAAAATAGGCGGATTTTGAGATATTTTGTTAACTTCCCAACAACCAAAATGTATTCCCAACTAGCACTTAAAAACCGAGAAAAAGGTAAAAAAAAACCTTTAAATGCCCCGTTTTGTTGTAAGGTTAAGGCGTGAAAGTATGCATGAGATGTGCATCTGTAATGTGGTGTCCAGCGAGCCAGCCCCCCCCCCCCCCCCGCCCGCTTTTGGAGTTTGCACCTCCGGGCAATATTGGATTTTGGTCATCCCCACCACCCCCCCCCCCCCCCCCCCCCCCACTCCCCGGCATGCTACGCCACTGCCCCAATCCTTGGAGAAATAGGCCTACAACTCTAATCGCTAGCTTGATCAATGAATAATAATCTAAAACCCCAAAACATCAATATCACTGGGCAGAAAATGGTCAAGCCCCCACCCCCAGCCCCACCCCCATGGACCGGAGACAGGGCTCCGTTTGACAACGGGTGTCGGGTGATGATACTCAGACTACTTTTCAACACCCCACCCCCTCCCCAATTTTTTTTGTGCGAAACAAAATTGTGCGTGCTTAACCCACTTGGTGCTGAATGTGTTGTTCAATAGGCCTACCGTCTGATATCTCGATCCACCCCTGACATTAATTAATATTTATGAACGGACAGGAAGTCCCTTCAGAGGTTAAAGCACTTTATATTACTTATAATATATTATATATATTAAGTGTTTGAAATTTACTTCATTTTAAATTCGCTTTTTTTTCGCCGTCCATAGACCTCCTAAACTTTATTGATGTTCAAAATTTAAAATTGGCGCCAATGTGGAATACTTGCGAAAGCTCCACGCATTGGTCGTGCCATTCGATTCAGTTGGGAAACCCGTCATTCACAAATTAGCCAAGATGGCGGATGGTTCGTAGTAAAAAGGTAGTCGTTCGTAGTTGCGGTGTACAGTGCAGCACTCACAGTGTCAAGTCGTTGAGTTGGTCAGGATTTGTTCAGTTCCCAGAAGTATGCTTCAGTCGTCGCTAATCAAAAGATTGGGAGACAGTGTTTGTAGTTAGAAATGGCAAATACGAGGAGAAGGGTTAAGCTGTACGTTCTCAACGACGAGCGACAGTGGGACGACAGAGGGACTGGTCATGTATCGTCGTGTTATGTGGAGAGATTGAATGGGATGTGCTTGCTTGTGCGATCTGAAACGGATGGTAATTTTCAATGTGGATCGTATTTTGTTAATGTGTTTATTTCTTATTCTAACTTATGTAATTTACACATGGCCTAGTTCATGGGAAAACAACCAATGTTAACCATGTCCATGACCATGATGACCATGTTTAATAAAGTGGAGGAATGAAACATAACAATTGTTAAAAAAAAATAATCATGATCATTGTCTAGTCCGAGTAACTTGGACCCAACTTATCGCCTTTTTTTAACATTTTGGACATGGTCTGGCGATAGTGGGGTCCAAGCTAATGCCGCGACCTGGCCAACCGCATCCTGTCACTGTCCCAAAACAAACTTTTTCCAACAAAAAAAAATCAGATTTCACCTTCAAAACGGCCTCCAAATTACTAGATATGCCACCTGAAGTACAAGTAGACATCGATGATTAAGATGGTTGTACTTAAGTTTACTTACGATCCGGAAGAAAAGTGAAATTTTCCGTTCAATTCTGAAGACCCCCTCTGCCTAGGTTGTCGTCGTTGTGCTCACGTTCAAAACTGCATGATACGCTGTGTGTACGCGTTCCCAATTGGGTAATGGTGTCTGACCTCGACCTCATGCAAAGGTCGTGACGGCGCGCTTGCGCACAATGCACTGCATGCACGGCAGATTCCCCTGCGCCGCGCCGACGACTGTTTCCTGATGAAGAGTGCTGTGTAAGTTCGCGGTTCTTTGAAATAATTCCAGCACATGACCGTCCTCAAAACCATGGAGCTATAAACCAACTCAGCGCCAGCCATGCGCCTGGCTAGCCAGCCATGCGCCTGGCTAGCCAGCGCGACTCCTAGGCGTACCGCGAACTTACACAGCAAGTGACAGGATGCGGTTGTCCAGGTCGCGGCATTAGCTTGGACCCCACTATCGCCAGACCGAAAAGGCGATAAGTTGGGTCCAAGTTACTCGGACTAATCATTGTCGTGATGGCGATTGTGTAGTTTGTTCAAGTTAGAGTCAAGAGTGTTTTAATTATTCCAAACTTTCTTCTGAAACCTAAAGCAGACTTAATTTTAATTCTAATGACCCTAGGTTTTTTTTTTTTTTTGTTTTAATTTTGAATCGTATCTTCTTGTGTAGCAAATGGCAGTGGATATTGGACCGTGAACAGGTCCTCAATTGTTAGGCCTAACGTTGTTGAACCAGCACTGCAATGAACATGCCCAGGGCGACAGTCCCATAAATGTGGCCAATTTACTGGACTATCTCCGTAAATGTAGGCAACGCAGCCACCATTTTAAGTGCTACTTTTTATATTTTTTTTAATTTTCACATTGAGACTAGGGCCTACATGTATGCTTCTAGTTTATTTACGCTTTGGAAGCACACTCACCTTGTGAATACTAGCATTTACTAACAATGACAAACAAATAACCCCCTTTCTCAGGCGTCTAATTTTCATGTAATTTCCAGACCAAATTTGGAGGCTCGTTTGTACACGTTTTGAGTGTAAAATCCCAACATGGCAATGGTCAAGCACAATGCATGCTGGATTGTTGGCTGTCAGTCACGCGGGGCACGGCCGGTGTCATATGCAAATCAGACTCCGTGAAAATTAGCCTCCTTTCCCTTGTTTTGGTTAAACCCTCTCACGTGACCAGTCATCTCCAAATGATCTTCACTTAGGCATGTGCAATACTACCAATGATTGAATGAGTCCGTATTGCATAGAAACCTAATTCACGCTACACCTGTTCGACGGTTGTCCTTGGTGCACAGTACGCATGACGCAAGCAACAGTCGCTAGCACAGGGAGTGTTTTTGGGACTTACACATTTTTACCCTGACGAATCTTTGTCTGGTTCCGCACTTACATTGTCGTGGCTTCATGTGCAGGAGACAGGAATCAGACCTATTGCAATTTCGGACCTAATATTTCCCTTTAAAAATAAAATCCTCCATAGGCACGAATTGAATCAGAAAAAGGTGAATTGTATAGGTGCGCATGGGCAGAGGAATGCCGGCACAAGTACGAAAACATTTGGGACCGGTTCACGGTTCTTTAAACACTTTGGTAGAAAATGCGGTTTACTTACATGTCTTACGTGTTTTTCAGTTGAAGCCATGTAAATCAACATGATTTTTGTGCATGCACAATGTGTCGCGGTGATCGCCATCTTTATTTTCGTGTTGCGTTTTGTCGTCTTCGTTGTCTTTCTACCCCAAAATTTCCCTCAAGAAATCAAAACCCTGCCCTCCATCTCAACCTCCATCTACATCATGTTGGTTTTATAGATATCGTTTACTAGTTTGGTGCATCCCAGAAACTATAAGAGGATTTTCATTCTCTTGCATGTAGGATTGGGGCCATAACTACACAATCGCCCCATTATTTTTTATTCCTCCATGGCTTTTCAGTTGGATTTTATTTTTAATGTGGCATAGGCCTACATTGTACTGCACCCACGTGCCCTCCAGCATTGTCACTTTTTGGATCAACGTTAATGCTATGGGTTTTCAAAAACAGTGATGATAGACAAACTACTTGCATCTAGCGTTTCATTTTTCTCAGCCTGCAGAAATATCTCCAAAAAGCAGTCCTGATTGATCCATGTCTCTTTAAAATTGGGTAACAGTGTATTATAGGACTTCAGACCAAAAATCTATATAGGAGAAATCAGAGTTTTTACTCACTGACATTGGGTTTCCGACGTGACGCAACATGCACGGATAACAGCATGTAGTTGGTGTCAGTGACCAACGTTTCCGCATCAACTGTATGCTGTTTATCCCTGCACATTGCATCACATCAGAAACCAGATGTCAATTAATAAAAACCTTGATTTCTCAAAAGCATTCCTTTGTTGAAGTGTCTGCATAAATTTGAACTTACAATCAATTCTCAAAATTGATGTGATATTCTACAGTCATGACAGTAGCCTTATCTACAACAACCGGGCCTACATGTGTTTCTGTTTTATCACCAAAATAAGGTTACATGTGATTGGAGATTTACATGTATATATTGTCAATTTTTTCACTGTTTAAAAAGCATGCAGTAATTGGAGGCAACCAATCCTGCTATTTTGGCACTGCTAATAATAATAGTAAGACCAGCAGTTTTGTTATCAAGAGTTCTACCGTAATCTTATTCAATTCTTTGCGGAAGATTGATTAGCAAGTTGTCTATTACATGCAAAAATGATGTACGTGCAGTATTGGGGCGCTGTGGTCCAATGGTTACGGTGTTCGACTCGTGTGCCGTGGTACACGGGTTCGAATCCTGACCGTGGGAGCATGGTGCTTGTGCTCTTGAGCAAGGCACTTTACCATTATTGCTTCGTCCTTCGGATGGGACGTAAAGCCGTAGGTCCTGTGTGTTGTGTAATGCACGTTAAAGAACCCAGTAACACTTGTCGCCAAGAGGAGGGGTTTGCCCCGGTGTTTCTGGCAGTGGCAGCAATTATGCGCCTCAGCACCTAGCAAAAAGGTGCTACATAATGGGTCTCATATGTTCATATACTTCATTTACCTGGCTTTGGTTGCATTCTCCCCAGCGCTTTGTATCCTCTGGCAAAAAGCGCTATATAAATACAGTTATTATTATTATTATTATTACATGTACATTGTACATGGGACAGTGTCTAAAGGTATTGTGCATGTTAAGTAACTATACAGGTACGCAAGTGACAACATATTTAATTTTTTTCTATTTCACTGGGCAAAAGAAAAGCATTTTATTATGCGTAAAAGCAGGTCAACTCATTCACGATCCGTACAATATATAAATCGTGATGGGGTGGTGGGAATCGTTTCCCTATTGTCAGGCCGCAAATAAAGTAGTTTTTCCATGACTAAACTTAAATTAACAGTGGTTTTCAATCATTTTTTTTCACAATTTGAATTACACTCTTTTCAGGATCAATACTCTTGGAATCCAAGATTCAACAGGACACTGCCTATCAAAAGCAACAGGTAAGATTTTCACCTCAATTAACAAGGTTAAGCCTCCCTCTCTGGCTGGCAATTTCAACAAGGCCAGCCCAGCAGTCCAAATAAATCAAGTGACTGTTTTTAACAGTTGAGTGCTCCCTGTCTTCATAATGCAGGATTGACTGGCTGTGATTTTCAAGAAACCTGCTATAGATATGTTTTGACTCTAGGAGATTTATAAGCCAGCTGTGCCTACCAGTTACCTGCTTTTGTCTGTTGATGGAATTTGACTGTCACGGTGCCTACATGAAATATGATCTGATTAGCCTGTGCAAAAGGCATAGCAGGGGAACATGATGTTTTTGAACGTCTGACTGTCTGTGACTGATCAAACCAAAGGAGGGTCAATGTATACGTTTAAGGAATGACTTTAACCTAAACCCTGTATTCCTTTTTGATTTTTGATTTTTCAATCCTACAAAATCCTCCAACTGCCTGCATTTCAAAATAGAATACAACTTCAATCCTCTGAAATTGTCTGGAATTGTTTGATTTTTTTGGGGGGGAAAGGGTGGCTCAATCTTTCAAAATCCTCCGACTCAGTTTTAGTAAATTGGAGCAGTGCGGATGATATATCCAGTAGGAAAATCCAGTATAATGTAGGCCTCAAGTATGCATGGCTGAACATAACCAGTACAAGGTACAGCTAGGACCTTGACACAAATGCATCCTCCAAAATCAACAGGCATTTTATAGGCATACAGCCGCAATCCTGAAAAATTCTCCAAAACCGCCTGGTTGGTTTGGGAGGATTCAGGTCAGGGTTAAAGTCTGAAATATGAGGAAACCTTTGTTATTGCTTGTGCCAATAAAATTCATTGGTTTAAGTGTAATTCTTTTTTAGGCATGTAATTTATGTGTACTCGTGTCTCATGAATTAACAAAAGGAATAAATATACATCCTTAAAAAGAATGAAACTTTGAAAATAAAGAAATGCAACCGTTCAGAGCCTGAAGGACATGAAGGATTATTCAAAGTGATATTGAATTTCTTGCCATGGGAATTTCCAGTCTGACTTTTAAGCACAGAAACATATTGATATATTGTCAAAGAAATATCAGCAAGGAAATAATAAATTGAAACAAAGAACTAAAATAGATACATTTAACGCACAGATGAAACATTGAAACAATTTTTTAAAGATTTTGCCAAATAAACATGTATGCATGCCATTTACAAAAATGTCAATTGATAATTATTAAATAATATTAAAATGATTTTGAATTAATGAAAGGTAAATAAATTGAATGTCAAACTAAATTAAAAATTGAAAATCGCTATATGACAAAGGACACGCATGGACTTCACAGAAATCTGCATCTGTTTCACGGATACCGCCATCCTTATGATCATGTGGTTAACTTTGGGGGCTTTAAATTGAAACTGTGGCATGATGGAATATATTTTTAATGAAATGCCCTCAAAGATTACCATGTGATCACAAAGATGGCAGTAAGTGTGAAATGGTCTGTGGAAGGTGTATCGGCTCCGTGCACAAGTACCCCCTCAACGGTAAGAAAGGGAGAGTTGGGGGAGACCACTGTGAGAAAAATTTGAACGCACTGCTGACAACGCCTGACGCTCACGCGAAGACGCCATAGCTTTGTGCACATTTAGAATAAATGAGTCGTGCGCACTTCGCTTTTCGCGTGCCAAACAGTACGCACACGTGCTCTTGAAAGTGCTAAAAAGTGCCATCTCTTGTTGGTGCAGAGAGCCCATAATGGAGTACCGGAGTGAATATGTCACACGCACAAAATGCATGTGAAAGACATTAGCGTGTGATTCGGCCCGTGAACCAACACGTGCGTGTACTCCATTCGTTTGCACTACACTTTCTGGTTCTAAAATGACGTCACACTTTGGTACTCCATTGCTAAAAAAAATGTATATGTTTATTTGACATGCTGCAGAACTGTGTTCGAGATTACATCTGGTGTCTCTATCATTGTGATAATGAGTGTTTGCATGAATACATGTTTTAAACATGTGATTGCTACTGTTTACCGAAGCCTTTATGACAAGAGCACATGTGTGAGTTTAAGTAGGTTTATTTTTATGGGCGCCGTGCGCTAACAAGAGCGCTTTTAACAAGTGCGCTTTTAAGAGCCCATGGATGGAACACAATGCGTGCGCGTACTGATTCGCGCATGTATAGCACGAAATATGCGCGACTTATTTTATTTTGAATGTGCACAAAGCCTTAATGTCTTCGTATGAGCGTCGGACGTTGTCGGCCATGACGCGTTACTTGTGCACGGATCCCATAACAAGCTGATAGATACACTGCGTGTGGTTGCAATAATATAGCCTTAATTTTGAATAGCTGTAGGTTCTCTCCTCTATCCAAGCCCCTTGGCAAGGGGCCAAAGGTTGTATTTATATTTCTGTGAACTGCTGGTGCTAAAACTAACAGTGTGTTGATTTTTGTTTTGAAATGCCATTGTGCAGGAGACTCTGATAGTATGGTCTGAGAATGACAACTATGACCTGGCGCTCAGTTTTCAAGAGAAAGCCGGATGTGATGAGATATGGGAAATTATCTGCCAGGTGAGATTTTACATGTACACACGTGTCATTCTAACATTTGCCTGATATATTTATAGCATGGATTTTCTTAAAGTGAAGTCACAGATTTTGTACCTCGCATGCTACATGTACATGTATGATGCCTATATGCATGTGTATGCACCAAGTTGTTATGTGCCAGTTGTTGAATGTTGGTGCCACCTGTGCCACATTTCAAGCACCACTTTTCTAGTCTCTCAACATGGAACTAACATCAGTCAATATCGTGTTTATAAAGTGGCCCTAGTTGATCATTCTAATGAAAATACCAACAGCTACATTGTGCATGAAATTAGCCTGATATAATGCCCACTTGTTTTGCCCAAAGAGTGTGAAATCCGATTGCAGTAAGAATCAAAACTCCAATATGTACACAGTGCTAAAGCAGGGTAAACCACTATTCAACAGTTTACAGCCAACACCACATAAGCACAAATATTAACAAGTTTGTTTTCAACGTGTTATTTTGTAGGTTTGGGTCCTTGATGAAGTAGTTGACTGTGTAATGTCAACTTCATTCTATCTAATATTCATTTTTTTGTCTTTTCCTTTATTTGCATTATGGATACTGCAAAAAACAAATAGTTATTTTTTCTTTAAAATCTTACTCTTGGCATAATATATGATGTAGACAAGTACAGCACGGACACTGGTTTTTATTCTGTTTAGCATTGAGTAAATTATGGTACAATGGTGACAATTTGTTTCCCTATCAACAGATCCAGGGCAAAGATCCCTCAGTTGACGTGACCCAAGACATCATTGAGGAATCGGAAGAGGAGCGATTTGAGGAGATGCCCGATGCGGCTACCCCCATCGAGTTACCGCCATGTGAACTCAGCAAGTTGGACGAGATTGCCGAGCTCTTCAGCAATGTGCTTCCGTCTCCCATCCGAAGGGAGAAACTGGCCGTAGCAATAGAGAGCGAGCGATACCTTCAGAAACTGGTGGAGCTCTTCCGCATGTGTGAGGACCTGGAGAACGCCGAGGGACTCCAGCACCTGTTTGAGATCATCAAGATCTCCATCCTCCTGAACAAAAACTCGCTGCTGGAGATCCTGTTCAGCGATGACATCATCTATGATGTCATCGGTTGTCTGGAGTACGACCCCTCGGCGACGGCGGTCCATAAACACAGGGAATATCTGAACTCCAAAGCCACGTTCAAGGAGGTTATTCCCATTTCCAACCAGGAGCTGCTGGGCAAAATCCACCAGACCTACCGTGTACAGTACATTCAGGATGTGATTCTGCCAACCCCATCTGTATTCGAAGAGAACATGCTCACCACACTCAACTCATTCATATTTTTTAACAAATTAGAAATTGTGGAGATGATACAGGTAAGCCGTTGGGTTTCCAGTTAGTTACATGTTGAGGTAGTCTTCAAATATTGTTGCTTGGTTGTGTTGTCTTTTTCATGTTTTTGTATCCCCTTTAGTGTCCCGCATTGTTAACTTTGGTCCACTTTGTCAGTCAATGGTTAAAGGTAGAGTATATCATTTGCAGCTATCCCAAAAGTAACTGGTCAAATTATTGTTGAAAAGCTTACTTGGTTTAAGGATGGTAATGGCGCTGAACTCCCTGTGAAATTATCCCTTCTGGCATGCTGTCATTTTGAAGAAGAAAATAAAAGAAGGTAATTTCCAAAGATGAGTCAAGTGATATTTTTGGAAATTTCTGTCAGTAGTTGGTTTGTAATTGGGCAATTCTTGAGTGGGTGCGCGCAAGCATCGACGCGACGCATACACGCGCGCGCGGTTGCTATTATTCATCGGTTTAGTGTGTGACATCGCCTAGCTGCAATCAGCTCAATTAGAACGTGTTCCGGATGCTGATTTCGGGCTCAATTCAAAACATGTTTTGGCAATTTTTAATTGAAATCAAGATCCTAGAATATTATTTTCTCAGAGTATACAGCATTCACAGAGCTAAAATTTCATGAGGATAGTTGTTAAGCACCCGTTTTTAGATTTTGAGCACTTTTGTTTCAAAGGAAACAAATGCACAAATGACAAATGATCTACGCTACCTTTAAATCAGTTAAAATCAGTTGTTTTTGTGTGGGATGATGAACATTGTGTAGTAGCTTGCTTTTCACTGCACACCTTTTGTACGGTTAAAAACTCAATGTGGTTTAACGTTTACCTAAATCAACACCGCATACTTTTTTGTCATGCAGTACTAATAGTATAAACATACATACATGCACCTCACTAGCCCACACATCATTTTGACAGCAAGATCCTCGGCACCACATCATACCGCAAGTTTTAGCAAGGTCACACATTTTGCAGTGTGTCCGAGCTACAGCAGTATACTAGTTACCCGTCCACTTTCCCAAGTCCTTTTTTTTATGTGAAGACTTGTTTTTTCTTGATTCAGGAAGCTGGTTTTCCCATCTTCCTGAAAGCCTTAACCCTAACAACCCTGAGCCCATCAAGCTCCAACAGCGGGTTTTGCTTGATTTTGGCAGGGTTGGTACCGAACACTGGCCAGTTGGTGTTGAACTTTGATTGACTGGGTACCAAAGGCCCAGGGAGACCCTGTTGAATTTTGTGAGGTTTGGGGCAGAAGGGCATGAGATTTGTGAACACGTTGGAGTTCACTGGCATTTCTTTGTGGGTATGCTCACCCACGGTCCTCAGCACAGCTTGTGGTCAAATGTGCATGTACATATTGCTTTATTTTGTTAGGTTTGGTACCATCCCTATCCAATCACTCGACAATGCATAGGCCCATCCATACCAAGTCAATCATACTCCAACAGTTGGAGTTTGGCAGGTTTAGTACTGTTCCCCGTACAAGGCCTGTTGGAGTTTGGCAGTTTTGGTACCAGTGCTTACAGACCTGTATGCAGCTGTTGAAATTTGTTAGGTTTGGTATACTTTCTAGTGCAAGAGCCTAGGGGGTTAGGGTTAATATGAGTTTTCCCCAATTTTTCCTGCCCATTACCTCTTGAAAATACACAGGTTATCATGTTGTTCGGCTAACTGTTGGCAAAATTCCTTACATGGATTGCTGAACTTGACTTTTAAGATTGGAAATGCAAGTGCATAAATATAATTTCTTTAGTCATTTGAGGGTTAGAAGAAGTAACAAATTACGTGAACATGTAGGGCAAAGGTGAACAGGCTTCTGAAGGCCATCCAGAGATCCGACTGTTATGAGCAGGAGTTTGAAGGAAAGTGTTGCTCACACTCCAAAAGAAGGAAACGTCAGATTATCACGCCAAATGAAGTCATTTCCTTAATCCAACATAGGATTGGGAGGAAAGGAAGAGAAACATTAATAATCCGTCCAAAAAAGACCTGAAATTCTTTGAAGAAACAACTAACACGAACACTTATCCAAGCTTTGTTTTAATTGCTGGTATTAAAAATGTTCTCACTTAATTACAAATTCCCATACATATTTGTACACTTGACCTTCATAGTTAGGAAAGCAGACTATAAAAAGCACTTTTAAACATCACAAGTATGGGATTGTGCTCACAAGTGACCACACATGCAGCAAAAAGTGTAATTTAGTTCTGTTCCTGTTTTTGTGAATAAATTTCCATGGGGGTCATTCCGTGTCAAATCATCAGACTTGTTGCAAAATGTGATAATCGTTGTACACATTTCAGGGGGAAAAAAATCCCTGCTTTAAATCCACCAGTACATTGCATAGGAATATCACATCGCATAGGAATATCACATTTTGCAACAAGTATGCCAACTTTGACATGAGCTAGGAGCTAGAAACCTAACAAAAATATAACCCAATTTTTTGGATATTTTGTACAAAACACGTTGGGGTATAAGTTTTATCCAAGTTCGTCTCAAGGTCACGGTGTCCACAGGTCAAATTCAAGGTCAAAAGGTCATCATACTTCAAATTGCTCCGACATGAAAACAAATAATGAAAAAGTTAGATTTCTTATGATGCAACCTTTCCAAAGTCACCAAGATTAACAAATTTGGCCCGCAGGTTATGGATATATGGTCATTTGTAAATTGGCGGCCATGCCCATTTTGACCAAAGTGCCCAAAAATGGCGGGCGGTAGCGTGAAAACCGTTGGTCCAATGGCATTAAACTTTTTGCTGACACCGAATGACCAATGGTTTGTAAGGGCCAAGGTTTTTTTTACTGATTTACATTGTAATCTGTAACACGGCTTTCAGGAACTCAAAACTTCTACACTTACACTTCAATACATTGTGCTTCTATGATTATTGCAGTAAAATGTTGCGCAACATTTCATATACAAGTACAGGCGTTGTAGAACCTAATAGCAGGAAAGTAAAAAACAAGTAAAAAAGACTTTTAAAAAAACTAATCATGCTTTATCAGAGAACGAATATGAACAATAATTTTTCTTTTTAAATGTCAATATTATCAGGAGGATGACCAATTCCTTCCGGAGCTGTTCACACAACTGACAGACGAGTCGACAGAGGACAAGAAGAGACGAGACTTAGTACTGTTCCTGAAGGAGTTCTGTAGCTGTGGGCAGGCTTGTCAGAACAGAGATAAGTTCTTCAGGGTGAGTGATACTTGTAGTTAATCATCCTGAAACAGATGAAGTACATTTTAATGCAAGATTAGATGATGCGTCTGTGCCGGTGTGTCTCTCATCCGGAACGGGTCGTTCGTCATTCTCGAGATTGCTTTTCTTTTGTAAAACTGTTCATCCAGAGATGCAAAGTTAACTTTACAAGACAAGTCAAGCATTTTATTACACAGGCATGCAACTTATGTGTGGATCCGCTGATTTCTTTGTTTTTACTTCTCATGAATGCATTACAAATTGAAAAACACTACAAAGTTCTGTGTGGTTTGGCGTTTCCTCGTTTTTTCTAAATTCCCAGTTGCATGCCTGATTGCAGCTACATGTCTAGACAGGCAGACACATCCTTATGAAGGTTTTCAGCAGAAGATTGTCTGATTGTCACACCCTGTAGGCATTTTTAGTATGAAAATGTACGTTGAAGCATAAAACTTCAGCAACTTAGACGCTTGGTTTTCAATTAAAAGAAAAATTCAACACCCAATTTTCAAATGGTGACTAAAGCCCTGCAATTAACCTGGGAGTGCAAAGATTCTCTAACTTTACATCATCATGTCTCTCTGTCTAACCAGTTTAAATCCTTTTTGAAATAATGACATTTTTACCTTTTTCTTTAAATAGACATTATCCAACTTGGGCATTCTGCCTGCACTGGAAGTTGTCATGGTAAGTGGATTATATGTTGCTTATCTTTTTCTTTATTTCGATAAAATAACATTGCTCATGCACAAATTTTATTTATAGTTTTAATTGGTTTCTGAAACTTGTTGTCATTGTCCTGATAACTTGAAACACTCTTTACTTTCCGTTAATCCTAACCTTCCCAACTCCATCAAAATCCATCCCACCATTTGGGCGGATTTTAGTAGGCAAGCCATGAGTATCAAGTCCATCAAAATCCACCTATAGTAGTGGTGGTCTTGTGGTGGATTTCGACAGATTTGGTCCTGAAGCATTATGTGAAGCAGAGTCAGTGATGGATTATGGCGGACTTGGTACTGTTCTTAGTAAAACTAAGTAGGGAGTTAGGGTTAAATCAGTGAGGATTTTGGAGGGTTAGAGTTAAGTCAGTGAGTCACTCGGTGAGATAGGTGTAAAGAACACCAGGCTGATCCTCTTGCGAGTTGCGAGTAACAAAAATGAAGTGAAGCTTTACAGACATGAGGAGTGTTGATTGGCTCATTACAGGGCATGGATGATAACGAAGTACGACAAGCCGCCGTGGATATCTTTGCCTACATCGTTGAGTACAGTCCTTCAATGGTCAGGGAATTCATTCTTCAAGAAGGCAACGGATCAGAAGATGTGAGTATAATCCCCCAGGGTTTGTGACTGTATCTGTCAACAGGTTTGTCAGTATATCCGTCGGTGGGTTAATGTTGGCTGCCAGTTTGGTGTACATGCATATATATGCTCTGATGCTATTACAGTAAACTCCGGCTAAACCGACATCGTACAACTCGTCAAATCGCTCAAGTCGGCCGTCTGACTAAAGTCACGATTGTCCGTAATGCATTTCCATTGAATTTTTATTTCAAAGTCGGCTTTTCTAAGTCGCCATTTCGCTCAAGTCGTCGTGTTACTCTCGGTCCCCTTTCCATAAAAAGCATTACAAAATCCTTTGTGTAGTCGGCATTCAACAAATCACGCATTGACATCGACTTCCTGTACTGTGGTTGGCAAAGTGTCGAGAGAAAAGTGGTTTTGCACGGCCTGTGATCGCTGCATGCATCGGTGTCGAAAAAGGGTGTCCTACTGCATGCATCACATATGCATCGCGAGCATATCAATACCAGTACCCCCTCTAGGCTGTACGCAAGCACTCTGTCCGATTTGGGGGTCGTCTTATTGAATGATTATTTCTGCAGTCAATGCGTGCGTGGTATATACCGGACCACGCATGCATTTCAGTTGTTACTGTGCACGTACCGGTACATATGTATCGTGGTCTCCACTATCAATACCCCAAACGTGATGATACAATTCGAGGATTAATTTGCTGGATTCAACTCAAGCATTAAGGAGATAATCCAGGGTAAATTGAAGCCAATTAGTTCAATGAATCATGTGTGCAAAAGTCCATTCATGTAAGTCGGCAATATGATGACTTACAGCAGATATCGGCATTCGCGTAAGTCGTCACAAATTCTTGGGTCCCGAGAGTGCCGGTTTAGCCGGAGTTTACTGTATATCGATATTGTATCAATGTCATCTTTAAAATATCGACAAACAAAAAAATTATGAGAAAATTTCTGTCAAAAAAACCTCAACTTTGGCAATGTGTTGAAGCATTTGACCTGAATCGAGTCTTTGGGTTTGTTATTAACCCTAATCCTCAATGGTTCATTTGAATTGTGCAGAATCTTGTTGAGGTGAAGATGGTTAGGGTTAATAGCAAGGACATTTCACGCATAAAAAGATGTCAATTTTTTTTTTTTAGAGTTAGGCTAAGATAGGTGGAACTTCGTCTTAGTTGTTTTTATCCAATCAGGTTAACTCTGCAACAAACAACACTCCATTTTCTTGTGTAAACGTTGATCTTGTAAATTATGTATTTTGATGTTCAAGTATTAAAGCCGAGAAAGGCTCTTTGTTAGGAAACCATCAATTTCTAAACTCCCTGGTTCTAAATTGTACACCGGGATGTGGGATCTCATGGTTCCCGTAATTAAATCATCATACCAGCTTTCATGTCAGACGGTTGAGAACGTGTTGACAGCAAATGTACATTTTTAAAAGATCACGTTATTCAAATGTGTTTAATAATTTACTAGGGGTGTCTATCGGAACCGGGTACCCGAGTACTTGACAACTGATGTCAGGTACCGGTTCCAGATTATGGGATCTGGTACCCATAACCAACTTTACAAAATGGCGGCACTTGTGCTCCATTGGCCATTAACTCAATAAATATTTACCGGATTGGAAAGATTTTTTCGTTGTTGAAAAGCTAATGAATTATACTTTGGAAATATGTATCGATATTTGCGATGTATTTTTTTTTAAAAGCTGTGAAAAAGAGGACGCTTTGAGGGTTCAGGGTTGTTTTTTTTTGCCACCCTATAGCTAACTGATGATTAGTGCATTATTCATATCAACATTTTGTGCCTTTATTTATACCGGCCCCTGCCCATGCTCTGAATATTAGTAGGGCAATAAGAAACAATTTCTAAACAGTCATAACTTTTAAGTGTCATAAAACTCGTCAATCCTTACTATACAGAAAGCAAAGCTCATTGTTCATTGGTTATTCCATCAACTGTTAAAGGATGGGACTTCGCGTTTAATTTTTAAACGTTTAGCAAATCTTTTATACACCGTTTAAACATTTAGCTGCCCCAGTTATACATGTTTGCACTCGAGCAGGTAATAACATGAATAAACATGTAGGTGCACAACAAACAAAAGGCATCATTGACCCCGATCTAAAAAACAGATCGTTCATAATGGACTGTCCTTTTGCTTCGTAAATAAAATGGGTTTAAAGGCATTTTTTTTTTGTGGATGCATGTCACTTCGAGGGCAGTAAAACATATGTCATTTTGTACAATGTGGGTTTTGTTTAAACGTTTTGGAAAATTTCTAAACAGATTTAGAATTTTTGTCGTTTAAACATGTAAATGTCACATCCTTACAACTGTTCAACTCTCTTATGTGCATTGTCCATTTTTGTTTTGTTAGGATGTGTCGTTGATCAACCAGATTATTGAGCAGATGATCTGTGATGCTGACCCAGGTATGGTATTCTGAAATCAAAAGCTTTAAACGAGATAACACCATTGTTACTTTGAATTTTTCTAACCTATGCATGAGGTAGTGAGCACAGCCTTCCCTGAATTTTGTTTTGATAATTATGAAATGTTTGAATAGTCTTTATATCTCTTGATTATTTTTATATTATTATTAATTTTTTGTATGTGAAATGTTTGTTTGTGTAGATCTGGGTAGTGCAATGCAGCTCATGAACATCCTCAGGATTCTGATGGACCCAGAAAACATGATGGCAACTGTAGCTGTCAGTGTAAGTTCACTTTGTTGATTTCACTTTTATTTTGAGATGATAATCTCAAATATATTTACAAACTAGCCTATTCTCCTACAAAAATGCTCTCAATGTAGCAGTAAGGTATTAAAATGTACATGAAAGTTGTCACTGTTATAAGAAATTTTAAAAAAATAAAGTGTTCTGGCAAAATACACTATGTACCCACACAAACCTCTTTGGCTATTGATGCACAAATAGAGTCAAATACATGGAAACAGCTTATTACAAAGGGGGAAAATATCACCGTGTTTAATTTCCTTGCAGTGTAAGTCACTTTTGTATTCATTTTCCTCTTTCCGATAACAAGGATGGCATTAAACATGGCTTCAGCGTAATGGTGCAATGACGCGAGAATATGATGGTTGCCATGGTCACATGACTGAGCATTAGGTTAAGAATGATGCGTTTCCGCATCCCATCAAAATGTCCTCTCAAGGATAAATTAGCCTGTCAGCATGAGAAATGAAGCCAATGACAAGCGTTCAGCATGTTTAATGGATATCACGAGAGAAAGTATGGCATGGACTATATTTGAAACTGTGCTTTCTATTGCGATTAATATGTTCAATGAATGTTTGTGTTGATTTAAAAACTAATTTATGGAGAAGTGCATTTTTGTTGATTACAGGAAATTGATTAAAACATTCCCTGTGCTTTTTACAAGTTTCTTCCTATAAAATAGATTCCTTTTCTAAATTTCCTAGACATCGACTAAACATTGACTGAAATGAATTTTTTTGGAACTGAAAATAGAATGTTTAAAATGTGTTACTTTTTTGCAGAAGACGGAAAAGACAGAGTTCCTGAGTTTCTTCTACAAGCATTGTATGCACATACTGACTGCGCCATTACTGGCTAACACTGCTACGGACACACCCAGCAAAGGTAACATCACTTCAAATTGTCATAGAAAAATAGTCTTTAAACCAAAACCTTCCCAGGCTTTTTAAAATCCCCCAGGAAACTTGGACAATTTTGTGGCATTTAGGTAGATCCCAGTTACACTTACTTTAAAGGCATATAGGATCATTTTTATTTCATGCATTTTTTCATTTCTAATAATAACACCACTCAAAATCCAAAGAATTTTTTTTTCAAAACCGAACTGGTTGGAGTTTCTGCTCAGTGGCTATAACACTTCTTTGAGAAAAACAGTGAAAAACCATGCACAACCTTTTGATCATGAAGCACAATTCTGTAAGTATTTCTCTGCATTTCCAATTCACCTACATTTCTGTTAAGGAGAATACACGAGAAAGTGTTGATTCGTAATTTAAGAATTCACGAGGCGCGAATTCGTAAATTAAGAATCCACACTTGCGAGTGTATTCTTCGACTTAAACCATTGCGTCAAAAGAAGTATTGGCATTAACAGTGAGTGGAGATGAAAAGACTTGGGAAAAATGTTGCAACCTGACGCCACTTTCGCGATTGTGTACAAAGTCTATGGAGAGTCAAGAATTTTTTTAAAGTATTTCCTAACAAAATTGGAAATATTTCTCAGTCCCAGATTCATGTCTTATCATCATTTTTGCAATGAATGCCCTTCATTGAGATGATATATGGTGAAAAAAAGTGGCATCAGGTTGCAACATTTGTCTCGGCTCCTTCCGTTGACAAATTGATAGTTCAGACGATGATTTCTTTCTGACTCGAAGTAGGTTTTGCAGTGACGGCGGAGAATCTGACAGTGAAGATGCATTGGTAATTTCGGAAGGAAATTTTCACGCAGACGGTCCTATTAATGCTCATTATAGAGAACAATTGTCTGACGTGTTCAAAGTGTGGATTCGTAATTCCGAATCCACACTTTACTAAAGATTCTTCGTTCCGAATCCACACTTTGTGACCAGCGTAACAGATTCGTAGTTCCGAATCCACACTTTTAACAATAGTGTGACGTCATAGCAATGGTTTAATGATTTCTTCTCAATGACAGCAAGCCAGGCGGACTAATTTCAGCGTAACAGATTAGGAAGGCCCATACAGGGAACTTGAGTGTGTTAATACATAAAAACACACTTTGAAAAATTGATAGAGGGTTTATCCTGGTAAGAATGGTTTTCTTCTGCCATCAGATGATTACCAGACGGCCCAGCTACTAAGCCTGATTCTAGAGCTCTTGACGTTCAGCATAGAGCATCACACCTACCACATCAAGAACTACATCATCTCCAAGGATCTACTCAGGAGGGTGCTAGTCCTGCTGCAGTCAACCCACCAGTTCCTGGTGCTCTGTGAGTCCTCTGATTCTCCCATTTTTATAACACCCCTTCCGCCCCCCCCCCAAAAAAACCCCAAACAAACAAAGAAGAAATCTACTTATGTTGGCTTTTGATAGAACTGATGCTTTGGCGTTAAAAGCTTTTTATGAGGTTGTCGTCCTCTTGTACTAAGTAAAACACGATAAGTTTAGCCTAGTAAAGCTTGTCCCAGGGTGCACATGACTCTATACAATTGATTCAGAACGATTATTAATTAATACGGTGGCATGGGTGGCTTGTGCGTAAAGTGCTCGCCTCTCACCAAGGTGACCATGGTTCGAATCCTGGCAGCGAATCGAATGTGAGTAGAGTTTTGCGTTGGTTCTCTCCTGTGCCACGAGGGTTTTTCTCCGGGCCCTCCGGTTTTCCTCCCTCCGGAAAAATCAAACACTTTCGATCTCAGGCTGTGCTCCGTGGTCATAATTATATGGGTTGATGTGGCCGGCAGCCATAGGCGCCTTCACGTGCCAGCGGCCCGACCACGTTGTAGCCGCGTCCTTCGCAATTCAGCATACCAGCTGCGAGTAAGGATGATTAGCCTCCCAAATTATTATTATTATTTATTATTCACTGGAAGTCTTTTCATGCATCTGGTCTACCTCCAGTTTAAATTCCCTAGATGGAATATTTCAGAGGACCACCAACCAAGTAATGGGCTGGATTTAGCCCATTACGGGGTAATCTGATACAATAGCACTACTTGGCTTTCTTCAGCCAACAACCAGGCAAAGTCCAGAACTGACAGCCACTTGGTGAGTCAGTCAGTAAGATACAAAAAAGGACTATAGGCTGGCCCCTTTGGGACAAGGGAAAACTTTATGCACTTAGTAAGTACCGGTAGGAAGCTGTGGGTCAAGCGAGCATTTTGATTGCTTTTTATCACAACCAACCTGTCTCAACGAGGGCAGAACCTGAATTGTAATTATTTACCTCACCCTGACATTCTTTCCTGAATCATCAGCTGAAAAAGTATGATCTGGTCAAGTGTAGCTTTACATAGAAGTTGCGTTAATTTCATCATAAACCGGATATGGATTGCAGAATCTGCTGCTATATCAGATTCGAACCAGCCAGCTGACCATGGCATCTCGGTGGTCCAGTGGTTACGACATCTGCACTAGCAAGCAAGAGGTGGTGGGTTCGAGTCCCACATGAACAAGCACAAGAAATATTTTTCTTCCAAGCTGTCGGTTAGCACCGGGTTTTATAACATTACATCAAAATCCTGTATTAGATATTATTAAACAAAAATTGAACATGTTCAGCTAAAACAACCGGTTTCAAACTTCCTTATTGATGATGTTTTATTTAAGGTGCTATAAGACTTGTGCGGAAGATGATAGCGAGGAAAGACGAGTTTTTCAACCGTTACATCATCAAGGGGTGCCTCCTGGAGCCTGTGGTCAGAGCGTTCAAGAACAACGGCAACAAGTACAACCTGCTGAACTCCGCCATTATTGAGCTCTTTGAGTTCATTAGATTGGTGAGTACAATCCTTCTGATGTCTTTTTACTGTTTTCTGGCTTGATCGCCAACAGCACCAAAGCAATGTTTGCTGTTAAGACTTGGCCGTCTCACTTCACAGGACAAGAAATGCATGCTGTGTGTGTTTATCAGCAATAATTTTATCACCAGAAATGTCTGCTAATTATCCGGATGTTTCAAACTTCCCCCTCACATTTACACTTCGTGTAGATTATCACTGCGAAATATTTGATGCAAGGACTTAAGGTAGCACTGTGTATGTATATCTCTTTTGTGTTGTGTGCGATTCTGAGAAGAATCATGGCATCTTAGTTGCAGTGGACTGAGAGGAAAAGTGTATTACCGTAATTTTCGGAATATTAGCCGCGGCTTATACGTTGAATTTGCCCATGAAAATTTTTACTGTGGCTTATACACAGGGCGGCTTATACGCCGAGCCTTGAAGAATAAAAATGACATTTACATGTGTATTTAATGTACTGGTACAAGAAGAGATGTGTTGCTGAAATAATTATCAATTAAGAAAGTCATTAGCAAACCGAAAGCACGTCCCACAAAAAGGTACAGAGCGGTAAAAAGTACGGCTAGTGAAAGCTGTCCCTTGGACATCGACAACCGGCCGTACGTGATGCTGCTTATACGCCGACTTCAAATCATAATTTGCAGATTTTTGCGTGCTGCGGCTTATACGCCGCGCAGCTTAGATTCCGAAAATTACAGTATAGTTTTTAAATCCAAAGTCCATTTGACATTGTGACCTTGAATACATTCTCAAGGTTTTATTTGCCACTTTTCTATTTCTTCATTGAGTAATCCTGTTAGAAAATACATGAAACCAAGACCAGGCACGCCTAGAAAGCTGAGCGCACAAAATGCTCTATTCAATCAGTTCGGAATGACTCTTCACTGGGAGTCTTTTCATGCATTTGGCCTACACAATTGGGCTGGGTTTAGCCCATTCATTAGCAATTGGGCTGGATTTAGCCCATTCATTAGCATTACAGGTAGTACCTATTGCGCATTTTGGGGGCAAGCTGAGACTTACATAAGTCTTAATTCACAAGTGACAGTCAGTCCGTGAGTCGGTCAGTAAGGTACACGTACAAAGACGACTATAACCTGGCCCTTTCTTGGACCAGCAGCAACTTGGTATTCAGGAAGAATGTCTAGTGTTCAGTACGGTATCGTAAATCAAGATTTTATCCATAGAATGTGTCATTGTTTTAATCAGGAGGACATCAAGTCTTTGATCGTTCACATTGAAGAGACGTACAGCAACGTGTTTGACGCAGTGGATTACGTGGGCACATTCAAAGGACTCAAGCTGAAATACGAGCAGCACATAGACCGCATGAACAACAAACCCAACATGGACAGGTCAGTAGTCGTTACTATTTTGATTTATTTCTGGTAATGAAACCAAGGATTCCTCAAAAGCATCCTAGGCACTGTAGCTCGCAAGCCTGGAGAAACATGTACAAAACAAAGGTGAAGGGGACGAACCAGTGTTTACAGGAACGGAGTGCCCATCTCTCTTTCGTTAGCGATTGGGCCAGACTCATATGCTGCTGTAGGGGGGATCGCCACACCTCCTCCACAGCGAGTCTGTTACCTTCCCAGCATTGAATAATGCCGGTATGAGAGGAGTAATTGAAGTAAAGCGTCTTTCTCAAGGGCACAACACACATGGCCACAGCTGGGCTCAAACCCACAATCTCACGATCATGAATCCTATGTTCTACCGCTTGACCACACGTGCCAAAAGAAACCTGTAGAGAGAAGACATTGAAAAAAAAAAAGGCGGAACAAACCATTTGCATATTTTCTTAATTATTCAAAACTTAAAAGTTAACATGTCTTCACATGATACACACTGATGTACTGGCTGTGATGATAATTATATCCATTGAGCCATTAACTTGAAAAGATTTTTTCAATCAAGTAAATTTTCAATCGTAAATACACACCCCTATTGGAGTGCGTGGCCCAGTGGTTAGTGGTCATGACTCAAGATCAGAGGGCAAGGGGTTCGAATCCAGCTGTTGGCCATATATTGTGCTCTTAGGCAAGTCATCCAGGGGGAATACAAATATTCTCAGTTGTTTCATGTCAAGAGAACCGGTGATAAAGCCTGATGGTCTTATTTTGACAGCCAGGCAGATTCCCTTGGGCAAATACTGAAAATCTAAATCCTTTTTTTCTTGTCTTTGCAGTATTCGACAGACCACCATCTTACAGAGCACTCGATATCGGCGAGACGCTCGTGCCTTGGATGAAGACGAGGAGCTTTGGTTTGATCGTGAAGAGGAAGCTGAGGAGACGGACGTAGTGGTTTCTATGGTCGAACAACAGCTGGAATCTATCAACAGATTTGTCGAAAGCAAGAAAGGTAGTTACACCTGTGAGGCAGAATTAGCCGTTGTGATTGATAGGTCATTATAATACCTGCAATACGACCCGATTGACGTTTCAAAAATGTAGATTAGGATATGATGCTCTTTCTGCTGAGTCCTAACTCCCTAGGATGTTAAAGGTAATATACAACATTTGCAAACATCAGAAAACAAAACTACCGAATTGTTGTGAAATACTTTACTTGACTGTAAGTGAATAATAGTCTCAAGCATCCTATGAAGTCATGGCACCTGGTGTGCTGTCATTTTCAAGAAAACTGGAATTTTTGTATCAATTTTCAATGGTGGTCAGCCAACCATGGTTGGAAAAAACCCTGATTTTTTTTCAAATACTGTCCTCAATTTACCATATTAAGTTAGTCCACATTTTGTTTGCAATCGGTGACACATCCTTGAATAGGTGAAAGCCAGCTAGTCTGGTTCCCTGACCTGAAAATTACCAGACGTCTGTAAACTTCTCCGTTTCATCTGAAATAGGGTCAGGGAACTAGACTAGAAGAACAACATTTTGTTATTGGTTTTTCCAGCATCTATGATCACAAAACTTTAAAACAGGTCAATGTAACAATATTTGCTATAAAATACTAACCCCCAAATCCATCCATTTCTGCAAATTACAGCAAAAGCAAATGTTGTATATGACCTTTAATAACAAAACATGAACATTTTAGGATTCAGGACTGTTAGGGTTAATATGAAAAATGAATAAGTGAAACAAAAATGTAATTGGTGTGAGATATGGTCACAAATTTTAATAATGTCTCATGAATACACTGTCACATTTGAATTTGATTCCATAATATGGGCTGTTATGAGGTATCACATTATTTTGGTGAAGCTTTCCACTAGAAATCTCCGGCTTCAGAATGATCGGGGGTCTTCCTGCCATTCTGACTGGTCTAGACAGAGTGTATTGGTTCTGGTTGTTGTGCAATTCAAGAATTCAAAATTAAAATTCCTAAAATCATTCCTGCCAGTCTTTACATGTTCCACAAACCTGTTGCTTCTTTTTGGGAGTGGAACACCATCAATTGTTGTAATTGCATCAATAATGCTTTGCAAGTTCATCATTAGGGCTTGTTTATGTAGTTACACCACAGTCACGTTGACTTGAGTGTCCCGTCTGTTCCCAACAGTTCAAGAGAGTACGATACTAAACAAAGACACCCTGGCCAGCAATGGCCGGCCCACCAGCCCTGTCCGGCCGGCCACTGGTACCCTGACACGGACGGTGTCCACGCCCCGGCCAGGCAGTCCAGTCCCCGTGACCAGCAAGAAGTTGGCAAGCGAAGAACCTCAGGAAACTACCAATACCAAAGCAGCTGCTGCAGACACGACGCCAGAAAGCCAGAAGTCGCCAACAAATAGCCTCACAACAAAGGTTTGTCACAGACCCATCTATTCCACTCCTCTAAAAAAAATCACCCAAAGCACACTTTTGAGGTCACAAAACATGCTCTGATCGTTGAATTGTGTAAAGCTATACATGTTGTTCATGCTGAGCTGTGTATAAATTTAGACCTAGATTATACTTGAAATCCTCCGCACTGCTCCAGTATGTCACTGGCTCTGCTTTAACCCCCATTGACAGTGACTGCTGAAGGATTTGCAGGATAGAGGCAGTGGTCACCCCTTTTAAGGACCATATTCAAGAAATAACGGATGATTTAGACTTCTTAGGTACCCAAACCAGTCCCGGCCGGCCACTGGTACCCTGACAAGGATAGTCAGCTTTGTGGGGCTGTCAGTTTTGTGTGGTCCTTCACTACAAAATTTTTAAATCATTTTTCAATACAAAATGCATTTCGTAGGGAAATTTGGCAATAGGCATGATTTCTGACCAGATTTATGTCTCCTAGAATTGAATCTAAACGTTTTGGAGCCACCCAAGCCTACAATTCAACCAAACAAAGTAACCAATAAGAGTTATATCCCTGACCTTTGCTTTTTAAACTTGTGTCTGCTCAGGGCGGTGTGGTAGGACTTGTAGACTACCCAGATGAGGACTCGGACGAAGATGAAGACGATGTTGAACCGCCCTCCAAACGAGCTCGCATCGCCACCTAGCACCCGCTACAGCCCCCTAAGACACCTCTACATCCTACAGCATCAACCCCCTACCCCTGGCATCAATCCCCCCCCCCCCACCCCCCGGCATCAATCATTGTTATCTGGTATCTCATCGCAGTGACAGTCACTGCTACCTTAAAACTCAGGAACATCTGTGAGTTCAATCGATGGCTTATCTTCCTCCACTGTTTCTGTAGTCTGTGCTCATGAATTTAATTTGCGACGATATGGGATTTTTATAGGTTTTTTTGGTTTTTTTAATGCGGCAGCATTACAGTTATGCCTGCATCCACTCGATTGCTAAATATTTTACATTGTAAGCTAGGCACAGGGACATACACCTAGTGGTTGCAAGATTAAGCATTCTCTGTTACTTGCAAGAGAACTTGCCCCAACAATAGAACTTGCTAAGCAGTGGACTGTTGTGTCAGTCCATTGCTTAGCGGGGAATTCAGAGTTTATGTTGGGTCAGCGAATCTTGATTTCCAAGCTGAAGTTTTTAAGCAGAACAACACGTTCTGTAAATAAACTTACTTGGAATGAACCATTGAACCATTTGATCTTCAATACACCTAAAGTCCGGTTAGACCCAAGCAAATTTAAGGGCAACATTAAGTCATCAGCGTTTAAAAGAAATTTCCATGAAATTGAAATTGATGACGTCACCAAAATTTGCTTTTGCTTGAAGTGTGAAAGGACTCTGGTAGCCTGTGTATTAACTCTAACTTGCATTTCTGGATCACAGAGCCATAGAAATGCAAGAACCGAGTTATTTTAAGCCCAATATTGAGTTGTGCAACCATATTGAACCACCCATAGAAGCTTGATAATTTATTTTTCAATTTGGGGATCGAGAATACTCTTTTTTTCCCTTGCATACAAGATGAAATTTTCCAGACCAAATAACTTTTGGACCATCTGGCCATTGACCGTAATTGAGGTCAGTGATGTTTTTATCTCTAGTGTACATTTTCTTTTAAACAAATGAAGCAGATACTTGTAAATGGCTTGTTGGTACCTGCTGTGTTTTGTTGTTTTATTGTACAATGTGCATCGTTGGTTTGTGACATCATGAAAGTATAAACAAAAAAAGAAGAAATGTTAAGAGCTAAGAGTGGATCAGCAATGAAGTCAATTAACATTTCTTAGTCAGTATAGCGTTGAAACTAGACACTTCCACTCGTTTGTGACATTTGTTTTAGTCAGTTGTATCGGTAGAAACTTTTTCTGACTCGACATATTGTTTGTGAAGTTTTTTGCGACTTTTTTTTTTTAAGTGTGTCTCAGTTCATACAGGGGAAAGCAGTCACTAGCAGTTCACATGGACAAGAGATTGTGTTTTGTTTATAACTGAAGCGCTAATGCGTGATTTTAACGCACAAGAAAGGCAGATAATCTGGAGGAGTTAGCAAACAAGACTTGCAAAACTTTTCTGGGTTGGTATTCTGAAAAGCGGAAGCGTTCGGATCACATTCTAAAAACAACCTCCACAAAATCTAACAATGACTTAATCATAAAATAAAGCGGTTAAGGTTTTCCCCTTAATCTTCAGTTTACAAATAGCAATGGGAAAAAAATGTTGCAACCTGACGCCACTTCCGCGATTGTGTACAAAGTCTATGGAGAGTCAAGAAAATTTTCTAAGTATTTCCTAACAAAATTGGAAATGTTACTCAGTCCCAGATTCATGTCTTATCATCATTTTTTGCAATGAATGACCTTCATTGAGATGATACATGAAGAAAAAAGTGGCGTCAGGTTGCAACATTTTTTCCTAGCATGGTTTCATAGGACACTTTGGGATACATACAAATACCTATGCATGTCTTTATGGGGTCGGGAAGTATAGAGCTCATAACTATTCATTCAAGTAATTCCGGCTGAACTTTCGTCGTTTCCTATTTGCCTTTCCTATCTGCAAACGCCACAAACCTATGTTGACATGTTACCTTCGTTTACTGCTCGTCATGGAATAATCTGTACAAAATGTTGTAGATTGTACAAAAGCAGCGATTGGAAATTGTTCATAAGACTATCATGGCGAGAACATGAGGAAAAGATTAATTGTTGTGGAGCGCGGTGTGTACGCGCTCCACGGGTAGAACCAAAGAATAATGGGGCAAAGGATGTGACTACGTACGGTAAGGACTTGATGCAGATAACTTCAACTGCATCACCATTGTTGTAATGTTTTTAATTTGTAATTTTTTTGAGTTTTTGATGACAATTTCCATTTACTTGATTCATTTAAATATTATTTTTTTGTCGGAACCTGTTCAGAGAACAAATCAACAGTTGTTTTTTTTAATAGCTTGAGTGCTGTCAACACAAATGGGAACCTGAGTTTTGCGACAAACAGGAAATCCATGTCTTATATTCAAGAGGATAATTTATTTAAATGTCAGCAGAATGTCCCTGTAAACAATTTCTATTTTTTTAAGACATCTGAAAGTCTCCCATTGACTTGATTTAAAGTTTCATTCTTGAAATTTTCCAGAGTATCATATGTGACCCTCCAGCACAAAGCCACTCAGAAGTTGCGTGGCGGTATTTTGAGATAACAGCATATACAGGCGAAAACAATTATTGAAATTCAGATTTACGTGTTAGAAGCTAGAATAATTAAAACATCTCACTCTCAATGAAGTGAACTTGTAAATTTCCAGAGGAGTTCATTAGGGGAACTTCAACGACAAATTTCTCAATTTATTTTTAACTTTCCAAGGCCCCAAAATTGGGAACTGAAAATCACCTATAAATTGATCAGATTTTGTCTGATTCTCATATTCTGTACATCATTGGAAAGCTAATTCAGTGTGCTTTCCAATGAGTAAAAAGCCCAGTTTTTTTCTCAAAAATTGGTCCAAGTGATGGATTTTGTGATGGAGGGTCACATATTTGGTCTGGGCTTCAGTACTGGGTCCAATTCCATGATTCTGCTTACTTTTTAATAGTGAAAAATTCTCGCCTTACTGCAGCATATTTCATTACTTTGTGAGGAATTTTGGCTTCTGCGCGTGTGTACATCCCATAACTAAGGATTCTGTGCTTACAGGGTTAGCGCAGAATGTTTTGCTAGCACTGTTAGCACAGAATGGAGATCATTAGCACATTATTCCGTGCTTAGCAGAGCCGTGAAATTGGGCCCTGATCTGTATGTAGTACACTGAATCTTTGTGTATTTTTTTTCAATTTCATTTACACTGTCACGCGTACTGGAAAGCCTTTAATTCTTCTTAGAATGACCACGGTTTTCCATCGTCGACATCACTCAAATTATCAATGAAATGTTGAATATTGAATGATTTGTGTTGCTCTGTTGAACAGGTGTTGTACAGAACCTATTAGGTGTATGTAAATAAATATTTTCTTCATAATACATTGTGCTATAAACTGTTGTTCTGTGTCGTGTCTCACGGGGTTGTTCATGCTCTCTGGGGGTTTATTTATTCACTTCAAAATTCAGAAGAATGGAAGGAATTCCTAAATACTTAACCATCCTTAGTGGGAAGTCAATTTTCAGAGCAATATGTAAAGCCCTTTAAAACTCTGCAGGTCAGTTTAAGCTGAAGGGATATGAAGTGTGTTACACAGATTCGCTGCACAGAAAACAGCAGTGAAGGATGACAGAATCTGCCTGCTTGTCCTGAGCTTTACGACCACATGAACGATGTGCAGGGATTTGGAGCGTTATCCATACTCCACGGATTACCTCAAAGGAATTTGAAGTGTGGGTGCTAGCTCTGTGGGCAAATGTGGTTTTGCAAAACTAAAGGAAGTGCAAAAGACTAGGAGGAATAATCAAAAGAAATGGATAATGCCAAAGTACCTTGCACTCTGTGCAGTACATCAAGATACCCGAGAACCACTCCACCTAAATCAAAGACCGAGACCTTGGCAACTGTTTTTCACCTACAAACTTATTCTTTCTGCAAAGGGCCCACCATGCACAGCGCCACCTGGTGTAAGATGGTGTCCAGTCTCATCCACCCTGAGCAGTTTTGCCATGTATCAAATGATGTCTAGCCCAAGCCAATCCCCACCACTCTTGGTCTTTCCCCCCCCCCCCCCCCCCAGTGGATGTCACGCTTTGTTTACACGTGCACTTTCCTGTGGGAGCTTGCAGGCTCTCGTCCCCACCTGGCTTTCATAGGAAAGTGCACCTGTAAACAAAACGTGATGTTGTGTCTCGATGGATGATGACCTAGACAATACCTCTAGAAAGAGTCTGATGCGGATGCAGCTGCCTACCCACTTCCACAAAATATTACACAGGAAAGGCAAGGCTTTCTGGGTAGATTACGATGATGCATGTACATGCCCGGTAATCAGTACACACAGTTTTGAATCATATCGTTTGGCAAGGGTATCGTGACACGTTTGTCTTAGTGCAGTATAGCTTTTTTGTAACATTGGAATGCACATACATGTACATGAGGTTTCTTCTCATTTCTGTATACTCGTGAGGCCCCTTCAATGGAGAAACCATTGTACATGCTATTGTACAAGGCAACTGTCCTGTGACAGATTATCTGAACAATAGCTAGCACAATGCTTTCGCCATTGAAGGGGGCCTTCGTGATAGACTTGATAGCTTGCCTGGAGACCTTTCACACAGTTTTGTGTTTTGCTCGGATAAGCATTAGTAATTTTGTATACGTTGTTTCTGCATTAAGGCTGGTTCCTACTCGGCCCCGAAACAAACACGCATGCAAATTTGTGACGTCATGGCAAATATCCGCTCTGCGAACTCACACAAGTTGAACACATTTCGCTTTGCATTCACATTTGTGCCAAGCATGAACCGGCCCTTAGGATAACAAACACAAAGATGGCTTTCATGCAAAAGGTCTATGAATGATCACACAAAGAACAGATTTTAAGAATTAGATGTAACACACATCCCTATAGGTGATACAGCACACGCTTTATTTTATCGCTTGGAATCATTTGTTTTTTAATATAACAGACATCTAGAATAAATTATATTCCAACAGTACAAGGGCAGTTGTATGGAAAGAGAAGAATAATCACAATACACATCACTGGTCAATACACTAACAATGCATTACAGTTTCTCTGAAATTTGCAATACATAAAATATTGCTTGTTTACGGTTATTGTTTGAATATATGAATCAGAAACATTAACAGTTATGTGCAATTGTACAAAACATTCATCAAAAATGCGAATATTAATTAATGACAGTCATGTTTCTAATCTAAACTCACATTTTCACAGTGCTTAAATCTTTTTTTTTTTTATACCAGCTACATTTTGCTTAAAAAGCAAAGCAATTTAAAGTTACCCTGCGCAATGTCAATTTCAAGAATTTTGTTTGCAACCAATTCTGATTATGTGAAATAATTCCTTTTAAATTTGAATTTAATGATACAGACTTTAAAAAAAAGTCCTGATCATTTAAATCCACTTTAAAAGACTTATATATCATAATCATAATTTTACCTCCACTGTCGCATTCTACGCTCTTGCAATAACTCACCAAGAACATCAAAACTTCCGAAAATGAGAGAAAAGTTAGGAGTATTTAACTTTGATTTTTATATTAAAGACTTCCAAATAATTCTAAAGCAAGGGATGAAGCCGAAGCAAGATTACGCGAAGGTTAAAAAAAAAAACGGAAAAAAAACACCATTGTGCCATTTTCAACCATTGTACAGATAAGGACAAGTAAAAAAAAAAAGCTGTTATCTCGTCCGGCATTTTTGAAAAAATGAAGGAGGCAGGCACTTCATTTTTTTCTCCCCAAGATGGTGGATTTTCCAAAATGGCGGATGGATTCTTCAATTTTCTCAACTATTTTGTTGATACAAAATTATGTCCAAAGGAGCCATAAGCCTTTCTACATAGCAACAATTTTGTTGGAAACAAAGAAACAGACAATATATTGACAATAAATGTGCAAACTATTGCAGATGTATGAATTAAACAAAACAAGACTTAGTGCTGAGTGGTTTTTAAATAGATCCCTCACATCTGACCTCTAGGACAGGACTTTGTTGTTCTGTGATATGCATAAGTAGAGACACATTGTGCTTTGACCGAGTTCAAATAACAAACTATCCTCAGTGGGGGCGCTCTTTGCAAAGGGTCTATTATTCCCCAGCTTGCTCTGAATCATCAAGTGAAATGGCAACAGAGTCTTCAGTGAGGAGAATTCTAAAATACATGTCAATTATTCATAAGATGAATTTACTAGCGTTGGGTGATGTAAATCAATATTAAGTTTTGCCCTTCACCGACGTATAAACACTGTAAACTCAGCGTGTTACCTCCCAAGTGAAAGTTGGACCTCGACCCCCGAGCTTGCGGGATCGGTTCGCTGGCTCGAATCTGATGTATATGTTGCAGTGGGTACCGCAATTAAACTATTCACAAGATGAATTTGCGTTGGGGTGATGTTAATCAATATTAGGTTTTGCGCTTCAACGACGTATAAACACTGTATACTGGTACTCAACTTTCACTTGGGAGGTAACGCACTGAGTATACAGTGTTTATAGGTCGGTGAAGGGCAAAACCTTATATTGATTTACGTGCAAACTGTTTTCAATGAGTCGGACTGTTAGTGAGTGAACTAGATATAATTGTGTTTTTTTTCTTTATTTCTTTCTGGGAATGAAACCAAGGACTCCTCAAAAGCACCCTAGGCACTGTAGCTCGCAAGCCTGAAGAAACCTACATGTACAGAGAAGAGACTGAGAAGAACTCACAGTTTTTTTACCTTTGATCACAGGTCACTAGCAAATAATTTTTTTGCATTGCCTTTGTTTGATACAGTTGCAATTTCCGTTCAATTTTTGAGATTCATTCCAAAAAAGTTCCCTTTTCTAAATTGCTATATTTCTAGCGATACAACAGTTATTCACTTTTGAATGAGACATCAACCAAAAACAGTTGTCCCAAGATTCGTTTTTGAATTACTACTAAATATAACTCTTTTTTCCAGAGGGTTGCTGAAGTTTTTTTTTTTTTTTTTTAAAAGGAGAAACAGGTTTTTTTGGTTGGAAAAAACATAGAAGTTCAACTTTTTTTTTTTTGAAGCGTACGGGAGTGTGAGATAAAAAGTGGAAAAAAGAAAGTTGGTTTGCAATGTCTAATCTAAGGCATGTGTTTGTATATTTACATAAAAAATTACCAGGAAAACTGCATTGCATGAAAAGTGATTAAACTTCAACAATTAAGCTACTTTGGGTGACAAAAAAATTGACCAAAAAAAGTAACTTAGTAAATTATACATTCCACAATTGCTTAACACGTTTCACATTGCACTGTACTATCAAAATTACACATTAAACACCCTCAAATCAGTCTGCTAGCATTATCTTCGTACAATCAAAATCACAAATAAATACGTTCTGAAACTATTATTAGTCTCTGAATTAGCTATGCATCAATAAGTGATAATTATGTGAAAGTCTTAATTAAAAAAAGAAAGATGCAAAATCAAATACTGATTTCAAATTATCTCACAAAACAGCCTCATAAAACATAAGTAACGGTGAAGTACAGACTCCCTTTTACATAGGGCGAGTCAAAAGAGAAAAACAAAAGTGTCACGCAAAGGAACTTCAGTTATCGTCACGAAAAACTAAACCCAACACAATTGGAGAAATTTTTGTTTTCCAATAGTGAAGAACTCTTTGGACCAAATTTGAGGATAATACAGAATACTGTTCACTTTTGCATTTTTTTGTAAGAAACATTTTGTTTGGGTTAATTTAAAGACAACACTAATGTAACAGTAAGAAAACAATTATGAATTTAAGGCAACGCCCTAAAAATTATCCAGTTAGGTAGGAAAATAATTTTATTTTGCAA